ATTATGAAAATTGGTGAATGATGCAACAAGTTAGCTAACGCAAAAGCCTCCATTCAGTCCAGGTTGTGGAGGACGCTTACAATCGTGGTCTCTCTTGTTTTCTGACTTGTGGAATATGTTGTGTTTCTCCATTTAGGGTGGTTGCCATCTGTAATCACATCTGGTGGATTAAATACATTTAGTCCAAGTGGATATAGGTATGGCAAGAGAGCCAGTAAATATATAGTTCTTCGCCAATAGTTGAAGGTAGCATGGCTCTGGCCAGTATGACCATTCCTCCTTGTTGTTGCTAAGGATTTAATTCAGAATGAATTGAACAGGAAATGTTTTTCATAACCTTAGTTTAAAAGCTGTTTAAAAACTTTTTTAAAAGGCTGTGCTTGTATTATTACTGAGCAGTTGATGAACGAAGGCATTTTCTTTCCCCATACCTCTTACAGCACTGCTATTAACATTCACATAGGAAAGAAGTTTTTAAAATGCAGTCTATTTCAGCTGACTAGAGAAATGATTTCAGGAGAGGTCTTAACCTGAAGGAAGGAAATCTTTGTAAGTGATGCTCTTATGTGATGCAAGACCTAATGTAATTATCTCACTTGTACTTTTTCATTTCACTAATGACTTTTTTGTCTATGTAGACCACAAATCAGAAGTTGAATATTTGTTTTCATCCTGAATATGTCCTTAAATGTGGGATCTCTTATTTTATGCTAGGTGGTGTGTCAAGGTTCCTTCCCCACTCTGAACTCTAGGGTACAGATGTGGGGACCTGCATGAAAAAACCCCTAAGCTTATTTTTACCAGCTTAGGTTAAAACTTCACCAAGGTACAAACTATTTTACCTTTTGCCCTTGGACTTTATTGCTGCCACCACCAAGCGTCTAACAGATATTATAACAGGGAAAGAGCCCCCTTGGAAACGTCTCCCCCCCCCAAAATCCTCCCAAACCGTACACCCCCTTTCCTGGGGAAGGCTTGATAAAAATCCTCACCAATTTGCGTAGGAGAACACAGACCCAAACCCTTGGATCTTAAGAACAATGAAAAAGCAATCAGGTTCTTAAAAGAAGAATTTTAATTGAAGAAAAAAAGTAAAAGAATCACCTCTGTAAAATCAGGACGGTAAATACCTTCCAGGGTAATCAGATTCAAAACCTAGAGAATCCCGCTAGGCAAAACCTTAAGATACAAAAAGACACAAAAATAGGAGTATACATTCCATTCTCTCCCGTCAACATAGAGCAGCTGCACAGGAGACCTTACAGCGACACAGCTGCAGTGGTACACCTGTGGCACTGTAGTGTAGACATTAGCCTTAATTATATGCTCGCAGCTAATTTTTTCCAAAGAACCCCTTTCTCATTCAGTGCACAGAATGTCTCTGCTTGAGATAAATCAGTGTTGTGTAATGTGAAAGAAATTGGTGTCTGCAAGACTCTCCTGCCTCATGGGTTGCAGAAATTGAAAAGTGTGTAATGAATGAGATGGGGGGTTGTGGGAAGAGAAAGAATGGTCTCATCGCTAAGGCAGTTGAAAGCTGTCATGTAGAATTGGATTCTATCCCTTCCTCTGCCAAAGAGTTCCTCTGTGATGCTGGGCAAGTCACTTAAACCAAGCTTTTCACAGGTGGTCACTAATTTGGGTTCCTCATTTTCTTGGTGCCCAGCTCGAAACTGTGGGTCCTGATTTTCACTAGGGCTGAGCACTCACACCTGCAGCTGAAGTCAGTGGGATATATAATGCAAAGTACTCTGAAACGATGAGGATCTGATTTTTCAAATCGGGCAAACACAATTTTGTGGCTTCTTTTGACCTTCCTCTTTCTCTGCCTCAGATTTCCATCTGTAAAATGAAGATATCATCACCCTTCACTTTACAGGGATTTTGTGCAAATAGCTTATTTGTAAAGTACTTGGATATTATTGTGATGAGTGCAATAGAAAGCCCATGAGGAAATTAATATTTCTTTGTTCATAACAAGGGTTGAATAGTGTGCAGTAAATAAGTCTTACAGGTACACATTACTCAATGAGGATAAAACAAAATATTGAATAGTTGCTCATTAGTTGCACGGCGTCCATCCTGTGCAGTGAATGAGTCGGGGGTTGTGTGGAAAAAATAGTATGTTATCATGTAATTAAAGACAGCATCATAATACATACATACAAGGGGCCAAATTAAGGTTCCCCCGGTAACCTTTATTCTGCAATTTCCTACGTTTTGAGTGCTTGATTTTTTCCAACTTTAATGTTCTTTTAATATAGCTCTTTGTGTGTAATATAAACTATGTGTAGTTTTTCTATCTACACATTTAATTTCTATATTTAGCTGTGGGACCACTTTATGTACTTCATATGCTCAGTATTGTCAATGGCTGTCTGGCATGATTTCAGTTTTGTACAAGGGCAGTGACTTGGTGAAAGAAAATCTTTGTGTTTGTGCACATTCCTTTTAGATCACTCAGGCTCAGTCAGTCTGTTTAATAATCTGCCTCGTAACTGGGGGTGATGCTTTGCTAGAAATATTCTTCATAACATAGTGTTATGTTTGCAATTACAGTTTAGTTTTTGGGTTTTTTAAAATAGTCATTTAGTGGATGTAGTTTGGTGTATAACTTAGCCGCTTTCTTTTGGTATCCTAAACCAGACTTGCTAACTCAGATGTAGAAAGGGAGAAGACAGCTTTTTCAACTAACAAAATAGTGCAAACCTTTTTTTAATGAGCTCACTGTGTTATAGGGAGATTCAACTTCTGGAAACACATTCCTTTGCTGGAGATGCAAAATGAGATAACACTGTGTAGCATGCTGGAGCTATTGTGGCATGAAGAGTACTGTTCTAAAAGCTTTGTTCCTAATATAGCTGCAAATTGAGTTAAAGAACCACCCTTCTTTACCAGTCATTGCTGAAAACCATACAAGAAAGTTTCAGCTGTGTGTTGCTTCTTAAAACTTTGTATATACGAATCTCAACTGCTCAATGCATAAAGTGGTAGGTCATTCAGTATATAAAATTTTTGAATGTGCTGCTATAAAACACAGGGCTGAAAAAAGAGCAGATTCCTCCACTTAGTTAAATAATTTCACATAGAGTTAATGTTTCTTATTTTAAAAATGCACACCAACATCAAATTTTTATTACATTGCTCCTTCCTGTGGATTTTTCCTCAGTTGTATTAAACTTATTTCTTGGGATGAAAAAATATGGGGAGAGTTCAATGTATTTCTTGCAGTTCTTCCATTTTTGGCCATGTTTAAATCATATTTAAAGGGTTAAAACTACTTCTCTGGGCAATAAATAACTTTAACTTCTAAGGACACAGATCCTGAAGCTTTGTTGTTAATAGAAAATTTTAATGTATGTGGATGTACTGTATATGTTTAATGCCTTACTGTTGCTACAAAAATCCTATAAAATTTTCCCATTAATCAGAAATTAAATAAGACATGACTATTCCTGGAGTCTATAACATGCTTTAGTTCAGCTATCTGTGTTTGTAGTAAAATGTTTATGCTCCTTCAACAGCACTAATATGCCACCTGTGGCTCATGGGTCTTTAATTACATATAACTTTAAATATTTAATCTATTGGATACAAACGTCAGTTGTAAAAGAAAAATAAATTCCACCATCATTGATATTGCTTCCCAGCCTATATGGAACTGTGAGGTTAAGGCATGCCAGTTTCAATACATGGGATAGTAATGTAAAACGTTAAGCAAGGAGCAACTTGACCCTTACAAAAGACTGAAAAAGCAATGATAAACTTCAGTATTTTGTGTCTAACTTCACTAAATTAGAATTACACAGTGTGTGAATAATTTATAAACTGTTTTTGTAAAACTTTAGTGTTACTGATCACTCTACAGTACTTTCTTTCAAACAGTTAAACTGGAAACAGCAGAGGACACCAGTTGACAGCCAATTCATTTTGCTGATTCATCCATTATAGCGATGGCTTCAGGCCAGAACTGGGCTTGCAGATTAAAGGCTGACAACTGTAAAACTGCTGGGACTTGAAGGAATGTTGGTAAAATGTTGCTGTGCAAAGGCAGGCAATGAAAGTGGGGTGTTTTTTTAAGTGATCCTAATTCTGCATATGTTGAGAGAAATCCCTGCACCATAAATTGGCAGTCATGTTTCAGTGAAATGGAGTCCTAACAGTAGAGGGCTACAATAATGGGAGTAACTGGGTGCTAATTAATAGACTGCTTGCCTCTCTAATGAATATTTAGCATAATAGAAAATGCAACTCAACTAAAGCTGTGTAGTGCAGCAATCAAAACTAGGTTTTGTAAATGTAGCCTTTTCCTGGCAATCTTGAAAAGTAAACCTGTTGGGTTAAGTAATGAGACTTAAAGGGAAAAAAAATCCAAGAAGGCTTTTCTGGCAATGAGCAATCTGGAAGGGATAATGACAGAAGATTTGATGGTTTCTCATTTTAAAAAAAAATCTTCAAACCAATTAACCGTTTTGTGAGGCCCATTTTTGTGAGCAGTGCTAACAGTACAAGTATTCTATGATGTGCAACAATGTGAATTAAAGAGGGTACAAAACAACTTGTTTCCTTCACCAAAGGAAGATGAATGTGAATGTAGTAAGTCCTACTATATTTGGTATGGGTAAATGTAGGCTATTGTATCCATGAGTGTCATGTTTAAACTTCCATCTCCTGGGGGTAAGGATGGAAATCTCCACTCCTGCAAACTAGTTTCCCTGTCGTAGATAGATGACTGCAAAATGTGGGCACCCTTACTTGGAAGTTCTCCTTTACAGTTACATAATAGATCTGTTTCTTGTGCCTCCTGCATTCCTGAAGTGTTTATCATAAAATTAGCAGGATCTTATTGCATTTCCTTAAGGCTAACGGTTGAACTTCGGATTGTGTATATTCACAGATCAAGCTGTTCACTCCACCTTAAAATAAGTTATTTCAGGGGAGGGGAGACTGTATTTAAAGGCTGTTCTGTACATAATATCCAATGCTCTTCTTCCCCATAGCTGTAAACACCAGCAGGTATGCTGAAAGTTATAGGATCCAGACCTATGCAGAATATGTTGAGAAAAAACATGAAGAGAAACAGGCAAAAAGAAAGTGGACAGAAGATAGTTGGAAGGAGATGGAGAGAAAGCGGTTAAAAACGCAATACACACCATACATTCCCCAGAGTCGGTACTACTGTGGTAACAGGTGAGAAATTTTCATAAGTAAAAATAATAATAATAAAACACATGGAAAGAAAACAACTTATCCTTAATTTCAGCAGCTCTGGATGGCTTCTCTTAGGATTTGGAAACTGAGGGCTAGTCTACACTGGCAAAGTTAAAGCGCTGCTGTGGCAGCTCTTTAACATGGTTTGTGTAGTCGCGGCAGAACGCTGGGAGAGAGCTCTCCCAGCACTCTAAAATTACCCACCTCTACGAGGGGCGTAGCTACCAGAGCTGGGAGCGCAGCTTCCAATACTAGTGCACTGTGTACACTGGCGCTTTACAGTGCTGAAACTTGCTGCATTCGGTGGGGGGGGGGGTTCACACCCCTGAGCGAGAAAGTTGCAGCGCTGTAAAGTGCCAGTGTAGACAAGCCCTAAGCTGCTTTCTCTCCTACTACTACTATCCGTGTCTTGTGGCTGACGTTCCAAGGTGCTAGCACAGGGTAATACATACTCTCTCGCTCCCTGGGAAACAGCCAACTGAACAATCATAATGAAAATTCCTTCTGTGTATCTAAAAGTGGGGAGGAAAAATGGAAAGAATTATTTTTTAGGTTAGATTTTGTTTGAGTCTCCAGTGAAAATTAAAGGGTTGCCATGAATTTTTGCCCTCGATGATCTATTGGACTGAGTCAGCAGAACTGTGTTGTAATCCTGATGCAGTAAATTGCTGTATGACTTGCATCTGTTTCTTGTTTGCTTTGTCTTGCCTGTTTAGAGTGAGATTTTCAGACAAGGGGATCTCACTGTACACTGGTGCAAGTCTGAGGGCTCTAGGTGTTACTGTAATTCATAGCATCTCTGTATTTGTCCTTGAAAGTCTCTGCTGCACTGTTTCAGATTCCTTCTTAAATTTATAAAAATCTCAAGGGAGCTGCAGGCCTGACATTTTTACAGGTTGGGAGGAGGTACAAATAGGGAGCAAAACTGACCCTGAACTGCTGGGCTTTGTCTGCTTCCTTCTTTTGTATGAATAATGTGGTGATCTATACTTTCCACGCCCTGTCCTCCTGTGAATGTGTTGGATTTTGCAATATGGAAAACTGGTTTCTCTCTCACAGTAAGAACATCCTTAAAAATAGGTTTTATACTTACACTGTAGATGAGTGTTTATATTTAATATGAACAAAACAGGTGTTTTGGCTGCTTGTCACATTTTGATGGCATGTCAAACTTGGAGTTTAAAAGTTTGTGAGAAATGTTTAGGAGAGCAGGAAGAGCACAAGTGATTCTTCAGGGAGGTGGAGTGATGAGTTAATCTAGGTTTTCCAAAATATTGTGTTTCATAGTTGGGTATTCCGTATGAGGGAGCATGAATAATGAGAGAGGCATGTTACGCAATCTACTATGGGACTTCTAAAGGTTCTGAAGCCTCAGTTACTTATCTTTCTGTGAAATGAATTGATCTAGGAATAGAATTTATACAGTAAAATACACTGCATTGCTGTAATCCATCTTCATGCAGTTTGTACTTCCTATAGGTTTAGGTAGCATTGGTAATCTGATCATGGAAGAGTTCTGAGGTATTTTGATACTGACTGCTCTGTTCACCATGGTTTAGGATTGCATTATTACAGCTGAGCGCCCCCCCCCCCCCACACACACACCACAGTGCCATAATGAGTGGTTTACAGCATTTTTTGTGTTTTGGTCTTTAAAGGGCAGAATGTATAATATATTCTCTTGTTAGCAGAATCCATGTCCCAAATTGAAGTCCAGTGGCCTGAATAGTTGACAGTGGGTTAGCTAGCAAGGAGGACTACAAATGGGACTTCATTCTGCTTTGCACTATAAAATAATGTATGCATGTACCTATAAAATAGTCACTTCACAATGTACACTAAACACAACACATGGGAGTCACTGGTGACTAATCTTTCTCCACATTTTATGATCTTCACACAGCCTTGATGCCATACCATATCCCATCCAGTCAGCCACATTGTTGATCCACACTCCCTGTGGGTGCCTTCTGACACCAGTCCCTGCAAAACTAGCTTTGGCAACCTTCCTCCACTCATCTGATCCGCCCTACCCACATGTCCTGCATATTCAAGTTTTCTTTATCTGGTTGTCTTAATACCAGGAATCACGCCAGTTAGGCTGTAAATTTGAGTAATTTGCCTTCTCTTTAATCATATGTGAGATATAACTAGTGTGCAGAAATTGCCTGTAGCGTTTCAGTTTGAAGGCTGAAAGTCTCTTAATGTCTTGTTTCCTTACTATCCTGTCTCGTGTTTATAGCAAGATACTGAAGATAAGAGACTGCAGCATGCAATTTCATTTTACATTTCATCCTCACTCATGACACCTTTACATTTAACAACAAATACTTTGTTCAAATGTAGGAACAGCTATAGGTACTAGGATGCCTCTCCAATACCTCCTCCAATGTACCTCTTTTGGGTCTAAACCCGGCTTGTTCTTCAACCACAAAGCTCTTTATCTTAGATGCAATTCTCTTCAGGATGATGTGTGGTAGTATTTTGTTAGGGTGTGTCAATAATGAGATTCTGCTGTAATTTCCATTAACAGCGGGGCCCCCCTTTTATGTATAGGAACCATCAGGGACTGTGTCGAAGTTCTCTTCCAGATTCTCAAATCACATTGACCAGCTTATGATATGCCTGTCGAATGCCTCTTCACCACTTTTAATTACAAGTAGTTCTGCTTGTACATTATCCACTTCAAGGGCTTTATTACTTTTCAGTGTCTGCATTGCTTCATCAAGTTCTTCGATCATAGGAGGGTTCAGTAGGATAAGTCAATCTTCTGACATAGATCTCTGCCTCACTTCCAACTTAAAATTCTTTTTGCTCCTCGTGGCATTTGCCACAATAGAGTGATGTACTGTTGTCAAGCCAATCTTCTTTTGCCTCTTCAGTCTTTCTCACATCACACAGAAATGCTTGCTCTCTTGCAGTTTGATCTATCTTGTTTTGTGCTCTTAGCTTCCTTCATTGATCACACAACTTGATAATCTTCTCTGTGATCCAAGGCTGCAGCTTTAGGATCTGTTTCCCGAGGAGTTCATCTGTGGTGTATGTAATAGAGCACTACATCTGCTGTACATCTGATCTATGTTACCCTTGTAGAGGATCAGCAGCTTGCAGCTTTTGTTCGTTCTTCTTGAATTCCACTTTCACAGACTTTCAGTTTATCAACATTACAGTGGACTCTGAAGGCACTTGCTGGTTATTTCTTGCTTCACAATTTGATCTTTATGGTGGCTATTATTAACTTATGATTCGATCTTATGTTAGCCTTCCTGAGGGATTGACTTCCCATCACAATAGAACATCACCTCATTGGGATCATGATGAGGTCTACAGTAATTCCTCACTTAAAGTCGTCCCGGTTAACATTGTTTCATTGTTACGCTGCTGATGAATTAGAGAACATGCTCATTTACAGTTGCACAATGCTCCCTTATATAACGTTGTTTGGCAATCGCCTGCTTTGTCCACTGCTTCCAGAAAGAGCAGCCCATTAGAGCTAGCTGGTGGGGGCTTGGAACCAGGGTGGACCAGCAGCCCCCCTATCAGCTCCCCGCTCCCCTAAGTTCCCTGTGTGGCAGCTGCCCAGCAGGCTATCAGTTGCTGGCAATTCAGCTGTCCCTCCCCCCAGTGCCATGTGCTGCTCCTGCCCTTTGCCTTGGAGCTGCTCCCGGGAGCCTCCTGCTTGCTGTGCGGGGGGAGGGAAGAGGGAGGCTAATGTCAGAGTGTCCTCTCCCCCCTGCTCCTGCCACCCACTTACCCCATCTCCATAGAGCTGGGGGAGACACACACATGACAGGGCTCAGGATGGAGGGAGCTTGCTGGCAGCAGCTGCTGTCTCAGCTTGCTGATCTACTTAAAAAGGCAACGTACTTAGTGGGTCAGCATACTTAAAGGGGCAATGCACAGCGCGCTCTCTCTCACTCACACAGGGTGTGTGTCTCTGTGTCTCTCTCTGCCATGCTGTCTCCCTTCCCTCCATTTGTGCTGCCTTGTAGAGTGTGAGGCTACATTAACAACAATGTGTTAACCCTTGAGGGCTCAGCCGAGTGCTAGTTCATCATTTAGCAGTAAGGCATTCCCTGGGAAATATCCCACCCTCTTCCACCTTCTGACTTCACCACCTCAGCCAAGCTTCACAATCATCATTGCTATGTGCAGTATTAAATTGTTTGTTTAAAACTTATATTGTGTATATATAATAATCTTTTGTCTGGGGAAAAACATTTCCCAGGACCCTAACCCCTCATCCCCCCATTTACATTAATTCTATGGGGAAATTGGATTCGCTTAACGTTGTTTCACTTAGTCACACTTTTCAGGAATATAACTACAATGTTAAGTGAGGAGTTATTGTATTTGGTATTGAATCTGGAAATCTGGCAGTGTCCAAGTCCATCACCATGACAGTTTATGCTTGAAAAGGGTATTTAGTAATAGTAAGTAATTTCCAGTTGCTTATTGCATGAATCACAGTCTTCTGCTGTTTGTCTTGCCATACCCAAAATTCCCAACACAGCTGCTCCATTCTGGGTAACTCTTGGGACCACTGCATGCATTGCACTCACCTTGTACAATTGGATGTCTCTGAGTTGAACAGATGCTAGCTCCTTCCCGGTGTCACTCTAGAATTTCTCAACTTTTTCATCAGTCACAGTCACTAGTTGAGGCACAGTCACTAGTCGGGATGGGCTGCCAATCTAAAGGTCAGCCTGTTGCTGATACTTTGTGAACTGGTCAAGGTGAAATTGTTTGGAGGTGGAACGGTAAAATAGGCTGTAATTCAATTTAAATAACGATTTTTAGTGGGTTGGTGAAGTTCTCACATTACTCCTTAAGGTGCATCCTCAGAGGTAAAAGTTTCTGTTGTGTGAGAGCTTGGCACATTGGAGCTATGGTTGGTACTGTCAGGTCTGACAGTGGAATGGTGTTAAACATAATTAGTTTAATCATCTTGTTATACTGGTGTTTCTGTGAGAACCTAT